CATAATCAATGACCGACATTAGCATTTACTGCACTATCCATTTCCTTACTGAAGGGCTTAGGCAGGAATTGTTTCTGTACAGGGCACCTAGTTTTGGGTAAAGTTTTGAAGAGATTTTTTCAATGTGAAGGACAAAGGATGTATTGGGGTATAGCAACATACCTAGATATTTAAAAGAGCAGACTGCTGTCAGTGTGCTATTTGAATTTGTTCTGATACACAGTTGTTGATGTTGTAGTTTAGGTAATTTAGGTACAGTTCCAAAGATCATTATAACAGTTTTGTCAGTGTTTAGGAAAAGTTTGCTATCCGCTATCCACTTTTCTACCTCTGCGAATTGGTTTTGGAGCACAGCCTCAAGTTGCGGTAGCTTGGGTTTATTAGCGTAGATTACAGTGTTGTCTGCATACATGCGTACAGTTAAGGATTTGCAGATGTTAGGCAGATTATTTATAAATAATGTGAATAGCAGGGAGCCAAGTATGGAGCCTTGGGGAACACTACATGTGATTGGAAGAGGGAGGAAAGTGCTATCAGAAATGGCACATATTGCAATCAGTCTAGATTCTAGAACATACAATCGAAACCAGATTAGCGGATGCCTGAGTTTTTAAGTTTTTGCAAAAGAATGCCATGGTTTACTGTGTCAAAGGCCTTGGCAAAATCAAGGAAATAGCTCCAGTTAAGTCTCCTAGTTCCATGCCAATTTGGATGTCATTCCAAACATCGAAGTCGAAGTTGAGTGATTTGGATGAAAGCCTTATTGATCAGGGGTCAGATAATTTGATAGTTGATAATATTCGCATAGTTGTGTGTGGATGCATTTTTCCAAGATGTTTGACAATACTGGGAGCAATGATATCGGGCGATAGTTAGATACCAAAGTATTGTCACCACTTTTATGGATAGGTACAACTATTGCAGTCTTCCAAAGTTTGGGTATGTATCCTGACACCAGGGATTCATTGATAAGGGTAGTGACAGGTTTAACAATTGCCTGGCACTGAACTTCAGCAACATTGCAGGGATTTGATCTGGTCCACACTGGTTTTTAATTTTTAAATTATTAAAATGTTTATTAACAACACTAAAAGGTACAGGTCTAAAATTGAATTTCTCTATATGAAGATTTTGAAGATTTGACAGAGCCTGATCTTTATTTGTAGTCTAAAAATTAGTGTAATTTGTTATCTTAGCCACCATGGTGGTAGCACATCCAACAAAATAATTATTAAAGGCATTTGCTACATCGAAGGGGTGTTGCAGTGTTTGGTTGTCCATTTTGACAGTGGATTGTGGGGGTTTGTATGCTATTTATGATTTTCCAGAAGCTTCTTGGGTTTGATAGGTTGTAGTTAAAATTTTCACTGAAATATTGGGCCTTTGCCATTTTTGTTTGTTTTGTGCATGCATTTCGCCATTGTCTGTTGGTACAGTGATCATTCATGAAGCCAGTATTCTTGGACTTTGACCACAGTGAATCTCTAAACTGGTACATTTGAATGAGGTCAGCTGTAATTAGGGTTATATGGGCTAAGGGATGGGGGAGATGCATCTAT